ACTTTGTGTACTCACTTACTGCCTTTCACACAGGATTTATTCCTTCATCAATGTTTCCATCTGTGTTGAAGGCAGGACTTCTGATGTTTTGATGCTGATCATGCATTCCCTCTACATCAACAGGATTGACTTTCCTGCCCATAATGGTGGATTACTTGGTCATGTTCTACTCATTTTCTTACATATTCGTTTTTTGCACCAACCATCCATGAAACTCTTGTTCCTGGTCCCTTTGTCTTGGGCATTAGACATACAACTCGGAGCTCATTCATATCAGGTTGATCTTCTTGCCTATAATTTGCTGAGAGCTTATATTTTGATGGCAGACCACCTCTTTTAGCCAGTCCATATTCTATCGATGGAGTGATCTTTACCCCTCAGGTCTTTTGTGGAGTTTGTTCTTGGTTGGTCATGCATTTCTTGGATACACTTACTGCCCTTCACAACTTCCAGGCTTCCTTACTTATGGTCCACTATTCCTCATTTTTCAGCTCTGTTTGTTGATTTTCTCAGCTTGACCTGGTCTCACCTTTTTCTATATGCCCATTCCTCTATTCGTCTACACCCTCTGGCCCTCATCTTTATATGCTACCTTCCGTCTCAAGTCGTATTGTTGGTGCCTCTTTGCCCAGCTTGGCCTTAGTCCAATGGCATTTGGACCCCCCATCCTTTCCTCAATTTCTATCTTTCTTGCTGCACACTCATACATTCCTTCTTCATCGAGGGTTATCTTTCCACCTCTGTGTGTGCGTGGATTTTGTACAGTCTGTCACCTGTTTGGCTGGGCTTCCTACTTTTGTGTCGCTCCTCTTGTCACATTTTAGTCATCCTTACGCTACCTTTTTCCCTATGTCATGTTTCTTTTCATCAATCTTTCTGCCACTCCATCCCTCCTGGCAGTCATCCTGTGATCACCTTTCTCTCTTTTTTTCCTTGACTGTTTGTCATTGGCTTGTCAGTGTGTACCTCTACTAATTATTGGGGAGCTTTGTTCATGGCTGTTCTCCTTTCCTGGTACCACAAGATGTTTCTTTCCCTGTCTTCTCCACTCTATTCCACTCCTTCTTTTTCCTTCATCCTTTTCACCCTGCTCCCATGCGTGATTGTGACCTTAATAGGGTTTTACATAATCTGATGCATGCCCTATTTGAGCCTTTGGATTTCTGCCTTTTTTAGTATCTCTTTATCCAGCCTGTCGGTCCAATATTGTGATGATAGAGTTAAAGTGAGCACGTAAGTTATGGTCTGAATGTGCCCCAAGCAGTCTACACATATTTTGTGCTCCGACCCTTATGTGCAAGTACTCAGATGGTCGTGTTCTGATTCTTCCCATCCCTATGATACATGGGGCTCCTTTGCCTTTTCCTCCAGTTCTTCCTGGGCAAAGAGTATAACTTGGACAAGATGAAATGTGATCTCCCACAGGTATGTCCTTATGGAGCCGCTATCATAGGATATCATACTCTGTGGACTTCCTTTGGTTGCTTTCTGAAGGGAACTCATCTAGGTCAAACTTTGCACTGGCTACTCCACCCTTTCAACATGGGATTCTAAGTAAATTGCGTGAAGAGGTGTGGAATTGTCTTGGAAGTTCTGAATACTGTTCTGAATTTATGCTATTTACATATCTTCTTTATTTTTTCCAAAAGACCTTTAACATAGGGGAAATAAAGCTGTATGTCTGTACTTTTCTTGATGTTTACCTCCTTTATTTTCTCTTTTTATCCAGTGTTCATGGTATCTATTGTCAAGAAGGATTGTACTATGTTTTTCTTTCTTCTTAGCATCTTAGGTATTTACAAATTTTGTTCTTTTTGGAAACTAGGTAGTCTAGGATGCCTATCTTTATACTGTTTGATGGTTTCATTTATAGTCAAAGTATTTTTCAGTAACTTTGGGTTTCCTGTAAACTCCATTTGTATACAAGGTATGTATCTTGATAACATCATGTCTATGAATGGAAGTTTTTTCTTCTATTAATGTTGTAAATTGTTTTACTGAACGTTATTTGTTCAAGTGGTTCATAAAATTTGTAATTATATATGTGGCTTTGTTATAAATGTATTGTCAACATGTTCCCTGTCTGAAATTTGTCGTTAAATATTCATCATTGCTAACATTCTACCCACCTTCTGAAGGTTTCTTCTTGAATATTAAACAAGATGAAAAATTTTCCTGCTATTGTGTTTTTAGTTTTTGTTCTTTTATCTCATCAGGAAAACTTTAAAAGGCTAATATGCAGGATGATTATAAAGAAAACTCTTATATTTAAAATGACTGTCTTAAAAACTACTTATTCTGTGAAAACAGTCCTATATGCACATTGAAAATCATATTTTATTCAGTAAAATTTAATGTGATACAGGGTGTTTCAAACCAATTTATACTGCATAGTTAAATTGCTTTTCTGCAAACTATATTTTTGTATATCTTTCTTTCTCTAAACAGCATTTAAGTAAAATGTATGCCAATGTGCAAGATATTGTGAGGATCAATGAAAACTATATTAAATAGTCATGCTTTTAATAGCTTCTATTGTTTGCCAGTATGCAAGATATTGTGAGGATCATTAAAAAATATCAACAACAGTGATGCTTGCAATAGCTTTAATTGCATGGCAGTGTTCAAGATATTGTGAGGATCATTGAATACTGTTCAGAAAAATGATGCTTGCAATAGCTTTAGTTGTATGCCAGTATCCAAAATATTGGGAGGATCACCAAAAACTGTCCAGAACGAAGATGCTTGATTAGTTTCATTTATGGATAGGCTTAATATACATGTTGAGACTGATGGAAATCATGTTGCACACCTACTGTTATAGTTTTTGAACAACCCTCTACCATCTCCAAACAGAAGTTTTAGTTCTTAGTATTTTTCTGGTGACATTTATTTAATTATAGTAACATTAAATAACATACAGGTCAATAACCTACTAACAACTTATAAATACTTTGGCAATTGTCTTGTAATTCACTCCTGTTGTAACGTGGAAACATGTAGAATCGTCAACTTTTTGAAGGCCATAGATAGGCCTAAATAAAATATTTTTTAATTGTGTACCAGTTTAACATTGAATACTATTTATGATTTTGACATTTATTTCTTCTATAACAAGTAGTTATTGAGATTTTCATTTTTAGTATAGAGGTTCCCTTTTAATCACTGTACATTACAGGATTTGTTTCCAAAGTTAATTAAAAGTCAATCCACCTCATTTATATAATGGTGTTTCTGAAGAGGGAATGCTAGTTAAATGAAATCTGGAAAAATACATACAAAATGAAAACTAAAATGTACAATGTCAAGCTGCAGTAACAACTGCAGCATACATAAAAGGGCAGTCATAAAAAAGATGTAATAATAACAACTAAACTAATTGAAATCCATATAAAAGAAGAACATAAAGGGGTCATGTTTTACTAGCTGTAACTTTATTGGCATATTTTGAAGCACTTTGAACATTTGTCACTTGTAATTTATAACAGATAGCTCAGGTTGACATAGTCTGTTACCAGTAACTTAAAACTGGTAATTTAGCTGGTAAATTCTGTCACCTGTAAAATATATTAGTGTACATTGACATAGCCTTTTACCAGTATCGTACAACAGATAGTTTTGATTGACGGTCTGTTGCCAGTAACGTACAACAGATAGGTTAGACTGATAAAGCCTATCATCTGTAATTTACAACAGATAGTTTTGATTGACATAGTCTGTCACAATTAATTTATAAGAGATAGCTTATTACCTTTAAACTGGTAGTTTAAGCTGATAAACTGATAAATCCTGTCATCACTAACTTACAACAGATAGTTTAGGCTGATATAACCTGTCATTTGGAGCTTACAGTGGATAGTTTACATGGATATAGCTTGTTATCTGTAACTTAGAAAAAATACTTTAGACTATGTTTTCCAAATAAATATCTAGTCACACTCCAAGAAAAGCAATTTTATTTGGACCTGATGTTTCAGCTTATACACTTCTTTGCAAAGCTTAAAAACTGATATGATAGTTTAGACTGATATCTCCTGTCTCCTGTAATTTACAACAGATAGTTTTAGACTGAAAAGCCTTTTATCTGTAACCTACAAGAGATAGTGGAGGCTGATAAAGCCTCACACCTGTAACTTACAACAGATTGTTTAGGCTGATATAACAGTTAAACTGAACAGCAGCTCAGAGCATTGTTTCTCAACTAGTTTTACCTCATAGATCCTTTTACGAACCAATGATAATCTATATGCAGAAACTGATGTAAAAACAGCAGTGTATTTAAATTAATTAAATTTTAAATAAAGTATGTTTTTTAATTTAATTGAACGTAGTATCATTTTTTAAGCTATAACATGGAACTTAATCTTTACTATCATGGACCCCTTTTGAAATGTCCAAAGATCATTAGGGGCCCATGGACCACAGGCTTAGAGCCATGGGTATAAAGAGGTGTAGCACCTCATCTATGTTACTAAATATGCTTAGAATGCATGGATCAAAAACAATTTGACTATGCTTACATGTGGGTTGGAGAATGACTATACTGGTATAAAAATATTCAACTATTTCAGTCAAGTGTATTAAACATTTATCTAGGTACATGTAGAATCATTAAACATATATAATTAGACATTTACTAATATTGGCAGTTATAAAATATCCTGAACTGTTTTTAATTTCTTTGAGATGATATATTTTGGTTCTGTTTGTAATTCAGCTTCTACACATTGACAATTAAGCTACATACTGTACTATATCTGTTCTTCCTTGATAAATTTGTCTGTGTTTGTAAAGTTAAGTATTTTTTAAAAGACTAACCTAACCATAAAAGGAAGTAAGCATACCTCCAGACTGTTAATATTGAGTATTATTTATGTCATACAGTCTACAAGATTTATTTAATATTTCTCACTAAGATATAAATGTTTTTTAAATAATTTCTTTTGTAATTTTATGTGTTTCTTACCTCTTTATTCATGCTTTCTTATTCCTGGAATCAGATTTTACTTAATCAGTCTCTTTCTGACATTCAGGTAGGATATTTCAGATTTTAACTAATCAGCCTCTCACTGATAATCAGGTAGGATACATCAGATATTACTTACTCATTCTGTATTTGATACTATGGTAGAATATGAAACAATGTATGAACTTGCCATTTCATCTGAAATATTGATCCAGTTTATATCATATTTGACATAATTAGTCTTCAAAAGTCAAGAAAGGTATGTTTAGTTTATTACTTGTATTTTGTACTGAATCATTCTCTAACATTTAAGTAGCTTTTATCAGATTTGATTTAATGACCTTAATATTCTAGTACAGTTTGTAAGGTTTTACTTAACCTGTCTAATAATCTGGTAGTACTTAACATATTTTACTAAGTCTCTGATACTGTGAAACTATCTGGTGTTGCTTGGTCTCTCTTTCTTTCTGAAATCTAGATAGGATTTATCAGTTTTTCTCTGACATCAAGGTAAGATTTATCAATATTTCTCTGACATTCAGGTATGATTGATCAGTATTTTTTTTGACATCCTGGTAGAATTTGTCAGTTTTTCTTTGAAATCCAGTTAAGATTTATCAGCTTCTCTCTGTCATTCAGGTATAATTTATAATTTTTTTATGACATCCAGGTAGAATTTGTCAGTTTTTCTGTGATATACAGGTATAATTTGTCAGTTTTCCCCAAACATCCAGTACGATTTTACAGTTATTTATATAAGCACAAAAAATCTATTTATGGTAAAAGTAACTGTTAAACAGTGATGTATTTAATGAGTCTTTAGAAGTTAGAATAATATGGGGATCATATACATAGGTGTTACTCAATTGATAGAAAATAAGTTAGTTGTAATTTGTTAGAAGTTATATTTAAAAGTATATATAGTTTATCAGAGTTAATAGTGGAATAAGTTTGTTTTAGTCTAAAAACGTATAGTTGACCTTGATGATTACTTGTGGTATTTTCTGCAGCTTGAGTGAATTCAGAATTTGACAATTTTTAAATTTTATTTACGATTTCAATTAGGAAAATTATCATGTTCAGAGAGTGACACAGCTACATATTCTTCCAGAATTAATTACTTATAGTGGATGTATCCTATTAAAAAATAGTAAAATTTATGTGTATATACATACAGCTTCTGTAATGAGAAAGTGATCGTAAGAAGATGGGTTTTTGTCAACAATTGTGTTTATCTTGTAGTAGATATATGACAGTCTTGAAAAAAAAGATATAACCACTCCTGCAGCACAATAAACTGCCTTCCTCTTGCACCTTGCACATAAGAATTTTGATCTTCAGAATAAATTAGAAAAATAGATAGATACAAATATATTTCAAACAGATAATACAAATCTACAACTGGAAAATTAAGTTATTATGTTAAAGGTGTTTAAAAATGCCTTATGCTATTTGAACTACCTCTGTTATTGCAGTATATCATCTGCAAATTTTATTAAAACAGTGTGTTATTTTATTAAGATTAAATGTGTTTTATTGTTACATTAGTAATGGTAATTGAATGTATTACTTGTTTTTAAATATTTTTAGTTCAGTTCTAAGCTGAATGCAGTTGGTTGTCTCAGAATATTCTGAGTTACAAGTTAAAATGAACCAAATAACCATAACTGTTAGTAAAGTATTTCTACAACAATAAAAAATAGGATAAGCAAGATTATAAAATAAATAAGTTACAAAACTGAATTAAGTTCATTAAGTCATAAAAGAAAACTACATACGACAAGTCAGTAATATAAAACTATACAAAACTAAAATCACTAAAGAGATATACAACCAAATTCCAAAGAACCAGGATTATCAGTTGGTCACAGTGTTAAAAGCAAAATAACCAGTGGTCTAGAATCATGGCTTTAAATATCAAGAGTCAGGATTTAAAGCTCCAAGTCAACTTAATCTATTAAAGATTAGGAGTTGAGCAAACAAAGTAAGGTTAAATACATATCAAGACCAATCATTGGTGAATTCTCTAACCATTCGACTGTAAGAATGTGTTTGTATCAAGAACTAGTGAACTGTTAAGCCAGGTAACTTATGGAACAGTGCTCACACACACACACACACACAACTATGTTAGCCAGACCCTTGACTGTGCTGGCCCCTGGCAATGGCTAACCTGACAGCAAATACAACCATCTCACAATCATGTGACTTCTTTCACCATTATCTAGTTATTTAATAGGCAAAGTTCTGGTTCCATTGGGGAAGGGAAGGGACAAAACCTCACATCAGTAATTGAAATTAAGACCAGTGCTTTACAAACAATGCCTAAAGCTACTAGCATATTTCTTTACAACACAAACTTGCATTCTGACACAAGTATAACCAGAATAAGTAAGCCTAATTATTCTTCATTTCATAAATAAATCCAGACTTATGTTCATGTAGCCATCACAAAAAAAGCACCAATGAATGTAATTACACAAAATTAATGTATAATAGCTACCTTGTTCAGAAATATTATTGAGATAAGATATTCAGAAATATATAAAAAGCTCACACATAGTTTAGTTGTACAAATCAAACATATTTCTGTACTAGAACTGCTTTAGAACAAGTACAGTATATTGTCTCTTAATCTAAATGAACAAATAATCATGATTTCACTTTGTGAAGAGTATGTTTTGAAATCTGTGAATATTCTTGTTCCTTCAAAACATTTCTTAACCAACAACAGTGAAATATTGGATCCACCATGTTGCTCACTTGTTGTGTTGTGGACCACACAGCAATTCTTTGTCTTTAAATTAGTGAAAAATCATAGTTACAAATATTCCAGTTTAGGACCAAACATGAAGAGTAAGTTTCAAAATCAATGAATATTCTTATTTCCCCAATATAAAATATTCCTTCTCCTATATCAGTGAAACAATGATCCACCATGTTTCACAATTGTTATAGTCTAAATCATACAGCAGTTCTTTGCCATTAGCTTAGTGAAAATTAAACATCAAACTCTTATGAATATTTTAGTTTGGGACAAAACATATAAGAAAACGTAGAATGCACAATGTCTCTATCTCAATGCTGTCTAAGATAAATGATCTAGTCTTTAGCACATACACACATCTCAATATTCAAGGCAAAAATTACTTATTTGCCTGAAAAATAGTGCTATTGTGTATATTTCACTTATGTACACAGTAAAACATACACAAATTTTAACATGATACGCATATGTATTAAAATACTGATCTATCGCAATATCACATGAAATATCAGGCTAACTCTCTGTGCTTGATGAAGCACATGTATGTCTTTCAGGCATCACCCAAAAAGTTAGGTGGGAGTGTACAGTATGGGTGGCATATATATATATATATATATATAGTATGCAAGTACATAAAATACATTTGGATATTTTACTCACATGTTTTGATGACAGCATGAGTTAAAAGTCATCAAGGACTTTAAGCATTTCCAAAATTCATATTAATTTAAAGAATGTAAATATCCAAGCCAAGTTTAGTTCCTTCAGTTACTCTTCCTAAAGCTGCTTACTGGTCATTTATGGTAGGTATCAAAAAACAAAATTTTCACTTTAATTATCATTATCTCTGCTTTCCTAATAACTTTGACTATTGAATGGGGTCTAATATCAATGAATGGTCATGAACTCACAGGCATTTCTATGTTGCTGATCTAGGCAGTGTTATAAAATCAAGTCTTGTTCTTGAAACATTGTTCTCCAATGCACATTCATAACTTCTAGACTTTTTGAGTTTTGCAACCATTTCAGTAATGCTTGGTCCACTCCAATGGTGACCTTCAACTGCAAGATTTCTTCTGTGTCATACAATATCAACAATCCGAGGCAGCTAATGTAATGCACACAAACACTATTACACTTTTTGTGTAATCTTGTACCTGTGACAAAACAATTCCATCTCCACTATCATTGACATCAGTATCCAGCATGAGTGGACACCCTTTCCAGGATAAAACAACACCAGTGCCTTGGCCAAAGCATGCTTAAAGGATCAAAACGTGTGCGTTTGGATCTTTGCATCCAAAGAAAGTGCATATCAGCCTTAGTCAATACATTTGTGTGGCTATCTTTGAGATATTAACCATAAACTAGTAGTATGACACAAAGCATAAGAAAGCTGCTGATTTAGGTTGAGACTAGTCCTTGACCATTGTTATTTTCATGGGATTAGTGAACACACTTTCTGCCTTCTATAAGACCAAGAAATTGCTTCATTTTGTATATATACCTGTTTTCCTGTTTCAGTTTGAAGTTTCCATTTGGATGTTGTGGAATACTATTATTATATCCTCAGCATTGGTTAGAAACTTGTGACTTTACACCACTATGTCATCATGTCATTAAAATAGATTAGGCATATCTCCTTTTATAGCTCTAAATGTGGAAGCTCCATCAGCCTCTTAGAAATGACAGGGCATTACATATAATGAATGACATGATGCAGTATTTATACAGTCATTCCTGAGTGCTGAAAGCCATCTTATGTTTACTTTCATTGTCCAGTTTGGTTTGCCAGTAGCCATGAACTAGATCTAAAGTATTGAACCAACAAGCACATTCCAGTTCCAACACATTTATCTATATGTTACAGTAGAAAGACACTGAGGCATTTTGCCACATTCACCCACCTAAAGACCACACAGAACATTGGCATTTCTTTCTTTTTGAGTATTGTGTCTGAAAACAACCAAACACTCGTTGAAGGTTGTTCCATCCCAACCATTTGATTTATTTTGTGTGGACATGAGTCATCTATATCTGTTAAATGATGCATGTGATAATTTTTTAACACATTCAACCATCTAGTTCAACTGACACATCAGTAACCTCAGTGAGCAATGCACTGAGTTCATCTTTCTTTATCTAACTCACATTATTGGTAACCTTCAACTACAAACTTCAAGTGATTATGAAGCTTAGTAATGATGCAGTGGTACAATAATAGGTACATAGCTGTTTTTTTCACCACTTCTGCCCACACTGCCTGCTTTTCAACCAGAAAACTATTTGTGTGTCAGTTCTATGACCAGAGAAACCATTGACAACACACTATACTGTGGTTGTAGTATGCTACTTGCATGATTAACAGTATCACTACCGTCTTTTCAATAGCATAATTGTGCATTCCACTCCTCTCAAGCCCAATCAGGTTGGCACTCTATAGTCTTGCTTTAAAGCTGCAGTTCATGTGTTACAAAGTGGAACTGGCTGACAATTTAATCAATATCTTCATCCTTAAGAAGCACATAAATGATTGAGATAAAATAGAACTACATTCACAATTTGCACAAACTGGCTGAAGTATAGAAACTCAAACTTACATCTGTGTATCACTATCAGCACAGACCATTTGATTTTAGGTCCAAAGTTCTTCAAATCAACCACTGAAAGTGAGTGCAAGCTAACTGCTATGTCTTTCCCAGATGGTATATCTAATGTGGATACTAATAATATAAATAATTAAATTAGCCAGGCCAAATGCAGTCATAACTTGTTGTCAACCCTCTTGCATCTACTATGGAATCAATCAGAATTGCATTTGCACCCAGCAGTCTTGTCTTGCAGTAAAATTTACAGACATTTCCATAATAAGTGACCATGTAAGACCTTTGGCTTCTTTAAAAGCCGAACATCTGTTACTTCAGAAGCCATTTTTTTAACAACTAAAACAAAGGTAGCTGCATCATAATACATTACAGCACATAATGCAGTGGAGCTGGTGTTTAGTAGTTCAGTTAGTCCTGGAGGTAGATTCAGAGCAGAGTCACAGCTGCAAGTTCTACTTTTATGCTTTCTTCCTCTGCTTTAATGTATGGTTTGATGTTACCACTTTGAACCACATTGCTAAAAAACTGCCTGTATCAAAGATATTGTGTCTTTGCTGACCCACGTGGTGCTGAATGAGCTTGCTTTGCAAATTGTCAATAGACTTACTGATGAGTATCTTGTCATGATCACCAAAAGACATGCTTTGGAATGCCTTCCCATGCAACCTGCTTACATCATCTTCACATGTATCCAAGTTTTCATAAGGTCCTGGTCATTAAAATTTTAACTTGGTTCTTGGGTTGGTCAATTCTACACATGTTTGAACTTATGATGCAATTCATTAACATATGTATCTCAGTCATCCAGTTGCTCCTCATTAAAGTGCTGTAGGGTGTCGAGCATCACACCTTCTAGATTTATTATATATTCCATCACCTGTTCGTGAGTCTACCCATTACACACAATTGCTTGAGGAAGAGGGTTCAAATGCTCATTTTTGATCCCCATAAATCCTAATGGGTTCATCTGTTTCACACACCACCATAACTAAATGATGATACAGTCAGGTTCCTGCTACCAGTGTGCTTCTCTACCTTTGTGTGGCTAAGATGCTGTCAGCATTCAGGCAGGCCTTTATCCATCTCAAAAATTTGGAAATGTGTACTCTTTAACAAATGTAGTAAAGTGTGAATCACAACAGCATAATACATAGATATACATATTATCATGTTCCACAACAACCTCTGTCACTGTATGTACTCTTAGAACTATGTCTATCCTGTGTTTATGCATGTGGGAGGTAACCAGTTGAGATTGCATAGTAACAACTTAGGTTTCCCCTATTTATCTATCAGTTCTTGGTCTGAGGAAAAATCAAGAACACCATAGCTAGTGAAAGCTTATTCTCTTGAAGGATCTCTTTTCTAGTTCTTACCTCACTCACCTCATATCCTTATTTCTGCTGCTTTCTCCTCTTCACCATAAATCCTACATGGTTTTAGAAAATACCCTATCATAATCACAGTTTACAGACTTTACAGAACCAGGAAGTCAGATAGAAAAGGAAGTGTATCCTTCGACCATAGCTCTGAAATGTAACTTAAATACTTTATTTTCCAAAAAGAAATTACACATTTGTGTAAGAGGAAGACCAAATTCAGAATAATAATGATAGCACATTGTTAGGTCAAATTAGATTCCTAGTGTGGTACCCCACAATCTTTAGATTACCTACATCAGTGATAATTCCCATTATACGTATTCAAGGAAGATAAACTCTTAACTCGTACTAATTTGTACAAGTTTGTATAATTCCCCTCAAAATGGGTATATTCTCACTTCAGGAAGTTATGATACAGAAATAGATTCAAGCACAAGTCCTGTTGAACAATCTTTGCATTATGTAACCTTTATCTAACCTAGGAGATTAATGCAAGTTCTTGACCTTTGTATATATGCTCTACAAGGATGTCATTAACTAATAATACAGAGCACCTGCACAGAATGTTAGAAAAATTTACCTGAATATGCATAAATAAAGATACATCATTCACTAGTTATAAATGGGTTAAATTGGCAGCTCTTTCAAATATGACAATATCTATATACATTCTTAATGTGCTAAGGTGGAGTTTTATGAATTTCTTTAATTTTTTAAGATCTAGGCCAAGTATTGATGTAGTTCATTAACATGTTGAAGTGTTTGTATAATATTTAAACTGCTGAAGTGCAGATTGGGGTGATTATCTAATGTACTGAAGAGCAGGCTGAAGATAACATATAATTTCTAACATGCAAAATTGTGTACAAGTACTTATAAATTGGTAAACTCACAGTTTACTAAGTATTCTCTTTAAGAGTTCACCACTTAAAGTCAAAGGTCACTTTGTAGAAACATTTTTTAGTGGTTATAATCTCAAACTCAAGATTTTAGGTTTCCAACTTGTGTATTTAAATTTGATTATTTCTTCAAATTGAAGAAAATTATTTTTATACATAATTTTATAATAATTTTCCTTTTTTTGTAGTGGTTTGAAGAAAAGCAACATCACATGGAAAATTTGGAGCAGCAACTGCGCAAGCTACACAATAGTGTAGAGGCTCTTGTTCATCACCGCAAAGGTAAAATACTTGATTGTCAAGTCCTCTGTGCTTTATCTGTATAGTAATTCTCAGTTGTACCCATGTATCTATGTTTACTTGATTTTTGATCTCCTCCAACAAGTTTTAAGAAAATTTACTCTCAACTCTAACAGAATATAAAGAAAAATATGGAAGGGGGTGTGGCTTTTAAGTTTTAACTCTTTCAGCCCGGGCTCAGTCCCTGGG